CCCTCTCCTCGGGTGTGAAGAAGGCCTTGTGTGGAGGAGGTTTCGGCAGCCAGGCTGCCACCTAGCGGCCATCCAGTGGTGACCTTGCGGCAATCCAGCCATGACCTTGTGGCCATCCAGAGATGACCTTGAAGCAACCAGGTGCCAACCTTTTAGCAATCTGGCAGTGACCTTGCAGCAACCAGTTGGGACCTGGCGGCAATCTGGCCGTGACCTTGCAGCAAGCCAGCAGTGACCTTGCTGCAACCCAGCTACAACTCTTGTTTCCACCCAATGATGACCCATTGGCAACACAGCCATGAGCCAGGCCACCCGGACACTCATAGGCTGCCAAACACAAGGCATCCAGGCAAAATCCTTGCAGGTACTTCATGTGCAAGGAAAGCGATGCAAATTAGCTTGTTGCTATTTACCTATGGCTTCAGCATTGTCCAACCATAATTGGTACCCAGAATGGAAAGGAGCCCATGTGTCTGCACAGGATAGACTCATCCTCACCATCCTCGGCCCAAGCACAAACCTTCCTCATCCATTTAAAGTGAGCCCCTCATCATGGCCTCCTGCCCTGGAATCTTTTTTTTTCTTCCTTTTGGTCTGTCAAGGGACTTGAACTCAGGGCCTGGGTACTGTCCCTGAGCTTTTTCACTCAAAGCCAGCACTCTACCCCTTTGAGCCACAGCTCCACATCTGTTTTTATTTTTTTTTCTGGTGTTCATGGACCTTCTTGCTCAGGCTGGCTTCAAACTAAGATCCTTAGATCTCAGCCTCCTGAGTAGCAAGGATTATAAGTGTGAAACACCAGTGCTTGGCTTTTTTTTTCCCTTCTCATTGTTGTTTTCTTTTCATGTTTGAAAATTGTCATTTATTGTTACTGTTTTCTGAGACAGGGTTTCACTACATAGTCCAAACTGGTTCACAAACTACTACATCCTCTATATCCCCCACAATCTTCTCTCTCTCTCTTATTTTCAGTCATGGGCCTTGAACTCAGGGCCTGGCTCTGTCCCTGAGCTCTTTTGTTGAAAGCTAGTGCTCTACCATTTTGAGCAACAGTCCCACTTTTTTTTTCTGATGGTTTATTGAAGATTAGAGTCTCATAGACTTTCCTGCTTGAGCTGGCTTCAGATCAAGATCCTCAGATTTCAGCCTCCTGAGTAGCTAGTGTTACAGGCATGAGCTACTGGTGCCCAGCTCAATCTTCTGCCCTCTTGACTTCCATCCTTTTCAATGAAGGGATCCCTGGTAAAGATGCCACATCAAGACTCTCTCCTCTTTCTTCAGTGAAAATAACTGTATCTCTGACACAGACAATAAAGTCCCCACAAGAAAAGAATCAGATTTCACCAAGTTGGGAAGCACATTGGGCTTCTAGGTTAAGTTCTAATTTGCTGGGTAAAGGGTCGGCATCTTAGTCATCCATAGAAAGTTCCTAGAAAGTAGAAGACATCTCTGACTTTCAGGACAAAAGAGCAGGTCTGACAGGCTGGATTACTTTGCCATTTCTATCAATGGATCTACCCTAGGTACAGACAGAAAATATCTGAATGGCCTCCAGTATTATCAAAGCACAAAATTCGCTGTGAGTTCTCCCCATAGCTACCAAAACTGCCTCAAAATTCCCTTTCCAGCTTATTGGTGCCTACTCATGGTCTAACACATCACCTTCTGCCACTAGGGGCCTCCTGGCTGTGTGGGCCTTGCCAAAGATAGAGATTCCACATTGCTGCTTTCTGTGTAAGTCACCAGGATGCAAAAACCTTAGACTTCTCTTTGAGTTCTTTCTTTCCCGCCATGTCTAACTTAGCCATGTCCTGTTCACAGTCTTTCTCCCATCTCTGAAGGCCTTCCTTTTCAACTCCATTACAACCTTTTCTGTGGAATGATGAACCATTTTCGAAATAGACAGTGGCTATAATTGTTCCATGCTGCAAATGTTCTTCACGCCACTGAATTATACATGTAAGCATGGTTCCAATAGTAAACTTTAGACCATGTATATTTTGCTACAATAAGAAAAAGCCCCCACTGGTAACCATTTATGTGATGCAAGTTCTTAAGGACCATGGCCTGGACTTCTGCTGGTCTTTGAGATGATCTCCCAGAAGCCAGCATCATCACATCCCACTGCTTTACACGGCACAGCCTATAATCTTCCATCACGAGACTTCTATCTTCAACAAATTACTTTTTGTAGACACAGACTAGTTCCGTAGCTGAATACGTTTGCTCATTGCTGTGACACAATGCTTGGCAGACACGATCTGAGGATTGATTTTGGCTCATGGTTTAGCAGTTCCGGCACACCATCTTTGCCTACATTTATTTTGAGCCTACAGTGAGGCAGAACATCATGGCAGAACAAGAGCTTTTGGGGGAGCTGATGACCTCATGGTGGACAGGAAGTAGATAAACTCAGGACCAGGCATGACCTGCAAACACATGTCTCCAGTGACCTACCTCTCCAGAGCCTTCCAAAACAGTGCTACCTTCTGGGGACCAAGCCTTATACACACGAGCCTGTAAAATCATTTCCTATTTTAACCACTACTCATCCTATGTTAGACCTTTCACCATGTATTATCGACCACATTTAAATTTTATCTTTTGCTAAGCTTCTTTCCCTGATGGATGTTGGCTGGTCAGTTGGGTTTTGGCTTTAATATCAGAAAGATGTTGTGTATATTCAAGTGTAAAGCCATTTGCTCTTTTTAATTTTGGTGGTCCTGGGATGGAACCAGGCAGGGGGCTTGTGCAAGCTACCCCACCAATGCACATCCAGACAACCCCACCAGTGCACCTCCAGACAACCCCACCAGTGCACATCCAGATAACCCCACAGTGCACATCCAGACAACCCCACCAGTGCACGTCCAGATAACCCCACAGTGCACATCCAGACAACCCCACCAGTGCACGTCCAGACAACCCCACCACTGTACATCCAGACAACCCCACAGGTGTATGTCCAGACAACCCCACAGTGCACGTCCAGACAACCCCACAGTGCACGTCCAGACAACCCCACCAGTGCACGTCCAGACAACCCCACCAGTGCACGTCCAGACAACCCCACCAGTGCACGTCCAGACAACCCCACAGTGTATGTCCAGACAACCCCACAGTGTACGTCCAGACAACCCCACAGTGTATGTCCAGACAACCCCACAGTGTACATGCAGACAACCCCACAGTGTACGTCCAGACAACCCCACAGTGTACGTCCAGACAACCCCACAGTATATGTCCAGACAACCCCACCAGTGCACGTCCAGACAACCCCACTAGTGTACATCCAGACAACCCCACAGTGCACGTCCAGACAACCCCACCAGTGCACGTCCAGACAACCCCACCACTGTACATCCAGACAACCCCACAGTGTATGTCCAGACAACCCCACCAGTGAACGTCCAGACAACCCCACCAGTGCATATCCAGATAACCCCACAGTGCACGTCCAGACAACCCCACTAGTGTACGTACAGACAACCCCACAGTGTATGTCCAGACAACCCCACAGTGCACATCCAGACAACCCCACCAGTGCACGTCCAGACAACCCAACAGTGCACATCCAGACAACCCCACCAGTGCACGTCCAGACAACCCCAGAGGGCACGTCCAGATAACCCCACAGTGCACGTCCAGACAACCCCACAGTGCACGTCCAGACAACCCCACAGTGTACATCCAGACAACCCCACAGTGCACATCCAGACAACCCCACAGTGCACATCTAGACAACCCCACAGTGTATGTCCAGACAACCCCACCAGTGCACGTCCAGACAACCCCACCACTGTACATCCAGACAACCCCACAGTGTA